GAGGCGTGGTGGGCGTACGCTGGTACCACCAGACTCCACGGAGCTGTCGGGGCTGTCCGCAGGGCTAGGCCTGGGACTTGGCTATGCATGCTGGGCTTAGGGGCCAGCCTAGGAGCTGTGGACCCAGAGGCTTGGAAATGGAGGACAGAGGGCTTGGCTCCTTGGCTCGTCCCAGGGCACACGCTGGGGATTCTAGATTAGTGTGCAGGGGTTAGTCAGGACCAGGACTCTGAGTCACAGAAATGTGGGCTCAACTCAATGCCCTTACTAGTTGTGACCTTGGGCAAGTCTTTCACCCTTCGATGTCCTCTTATTATTGGGGCCAATAACAACCTTCACTTCATTGGATAATACTGAGAACTAACTAACTAAATAACCAACCAACCAACTCTTTCATCCTTTCTAAAAGTGTTTATTGAGTGCCTTCTATGTGCCAGGCTGTGTGCCAGGCCCCAAAGCTGCAGTGCTGAACAAGACAGTCACAGTCGCTCCGAGCTGAGACTCAGAGTTGGAGGGGCCAGGAAGCTCATTCCTCCAACACTCCTGTGAGAAAATGGTGCCCCGAGATGGCCACTGACTTGCCCAAGGCCACACAGCAGCCTGTGAGGGAGCCAGAGTGGAGATCCACACATCCTGTCTCCCGGTGCAGAGCTCATTCCATGAAAACCAGGCAACGATGAAATCACAGGGCCACCTTGATACGACCCCAAGGCTTTACACACTCAGCTGCTAAGTGAAAGTTTGGAGGTGCAAGTTCACCCAGAGGCACCTTGGAAGAAAGGCCTGGCAATATAGTTCCAAAAATTCAGCCATTTGAAACCCTATGGAGCACAATTCTACTCTGACACACATGGGGTTGCCGTGAGTTGGCGTTAACTTGACGGCAAATGGTTTGGATCGGTTTCCCTTGAAGGATGCATTCAGGAAAGAAATAGCCTCAAATCTAATCCATTCAAAGGTTCTTCTATATACCAGGATTAGCCATTACGGCAGGAAACAGAACATTCCACGGGGCACTGAAACACCACTAGGTGCTTCTATTTTGAAGAAAGACATGAAATACATTGATAACAGGTTGCAAGGGGTGAGAAAAGGATACTCTGACACCCTCTTACTCTTCCAGGGGAGTGAACTGGTACAACCCTTTTAGGGGACAATATGGCAGTGTTACCATCGTCTTAAATAGGCGTGCCCTTTGACCAGAAATGCTCCTTTGGGAACTCATCCCACAGGAATAGTTGCACACGAGAGAGATATGTACAAGGATTTTCTTTGCAGCATTAATTGTATAAGCTGCAAACATCCTAAATGCACCTCCCATCCAGTGCAATGTCTGATTGACCCCTGGGATAGGCTTGCCAAGCTGTGAGGGAGATGAGGCAGAGGTTAGAAAGAACGAGGAGGAGGTCCGTGGGCTCACATGGACCCAGGAAAGCAATGACTGTTAGGTGAGGAAAGCAAGGGGCAGGACGCTATGAACAGGATGATCTCTCTCCTTCTAGCCTTCCCTCCTTCTCTTTGTCTTTCCTTAATATGTATTTATGTGAAAATATCTATAAAGATATAAACTGAACTCTTACAGTGGTGGGTCATCTTGGGCTGTGGGATTTCGGGGAAGGAAGCTGACTTTAAACATCTGATTTATATTTACAAGCATCTAGGTTACTCTACAAGGAGCCCTGGTGGCACAGTGGTTAAGTGCTCGGCTGCTAACCGAAAGGTAGGTGGTTCGAACGAACCCACCAGCTGTTCCACCGGAGAAAGATGTAGCAGTCTGCTTCCATAAATATTTACAGCCTTGGAAACCCTATGGGGAGTTCTACTCTGTCCTATAGGGTCGCTATGAGTCGGAATCACCTCGACAGCAATGGATTTGGTTTTGGGTTAGATTACTCTATAATAAGCATGCATGAAGGAGCCCTGGAGACACAAAGGTTAAGCCTGGGCTGTTAACCAAAAGGTCAGCAGTGTGAATGTACCCAGAGGCTCTGCAGGAGAAAAACCTGGCAATCTGCTCCAGTAAAGACTGCAGCCTAAAAACCCTATGGGGCAGTTCTGCTATGTCACATGGGATCGCTATGAGTCAAAATCAATTTGATGGAAACTAACAACACGGAACCCTGGTGGCACAGTGGTTAAGAGCTTGGCTGCTAACCCAAAGGTAGGCAGTTCGAATCCACCAGCTGCTCCTTGGAAACCCTATGGGGCAGTTCTACTCTCTCCTATAGGGTTGCTATGAGTTGGAATCGACTCAACGGCAATGGGTTTGGTTTTTAGTTTTTTTTTTTTTTTAAACAAGTATGATGACTATTTTAACATTAAAACAATAAAGATAAAATTAAGATACAATTTAAACACGAGCTGGGTGGGGTGGAGTGGAGGCCTCACCAGGGCTTGGCTCTGTGCTCTGGTCCTTCAGGGGGGCAGTGAACTTCAGGGTCAGGTTTTTGGTGACTGCTGGCTGCCCGTCATGCACCACCTGGCAGGTGAGCACCACATCCTCTCTGTGGGCAGATAAGTTCACCAGGATCCAGCTCTTCAGGTTATAGGTCCCATCCTTGTCCTCAGTGGGGATCCAGGCTGAATCTGTTCGGGACACATTACCATTCTCCAACCAGGTCAGCTCTAGGCTCTTGGGGTAGAACTTCTTCACCTGGCAGGTGATGTTCACTTGGTTCCCTTGAGTGGGGGGACGGGTAACCTCCAAGGTGGGCGGAACTGAAAGAGCACAGAGCAGAAGCTCTGAACTTGTGGAACAGACAGATCACAGGGGCAGGGGAAGGGGCTTGATAACAGTTATCTCCCAACATCATGGCAAGGGAATCACTGAGTATGGTGCTAAGCATGCAGCAGGTGTTCAAACAATATACATCCTCTTTGCATAATGAATGAAATCACTAGGCAAAGTGCCTGACACACAGTAGGTGCTCGAGGACTGACAGCACGTGTTAGGGCAATAATGAGTAAAATCAACAAGCACAATGACTTGTATACAGTCAGAACATAATAACCGTAGCAAAATAAAATAAAATCACCAAGCACATAGGGGCTTAACATATAGTCGGTGCTCAATAATTGCCGTTGTTATTGGTAAAATAAATGAAATTAACTAACATTGTGCTTGGCACGTGGAAGATGTTCAGCGGGAAGCTGCCATTAAAGTGTAATAAGTGAAAGCGCTGAGCAGTGTGACTGACACACTGTAGGTTTATGGTAATTGGGAGGGACTATTAGGAAACAGATTCCAGAAAGTTCAAGCCCTGGAGCAAACCTGGGTGAGCAGGCTGGGGACTGGGTGGGGGGCTGGGCTGGGTGTGAGTGTCATCTACCTCGGATGATCTCAGACAATTTGGCTGTCCCACGGAGAGAGCCCTGTAAGGTACTGTGGGCCACCTCGCAGATGACCTGACTGTGGACGTCCTCTGGGGTGAGCATCACCTGGGTCCTGCTGGAGACGTTGTAGGAGACACTGTCGCCTGGCGGGACCACGATGGTCTGGAGGGCTGGGAGCTCATTCCCATTTCTGAACCACTTCAGGGTGACATCTCTGGGGGAGAAGCCATGGGACTCACAGGTGAAGGTCACTGTCTGCCCAGGTGTGGT